AATTATTTAACAGAACATTATCTTGTTGTGATCATTTTCATATATGTGAAACTCTCTGCATAAAAATAGTATAAAGTAAGAATAACCAAGTTATTTTTCATTCATGATGATCTTTCATTGTTGACTTTTCAGAAAATGTGTCATGTCCTGTTATTGCTAAGAGTATCTGCCTTTTAGTTACTTAATAGGAATTCCTAAGCAAGTGTGCAAAGAAGTTTATTTTTCCTGCCACAATTAATATCTGCCCCCTTTCTTTTTATTTGCCAGTCTGTTATTGATCAGCAGTTGCAAATAAGAGAATCCCCAGTTTGTGTCTGGCTGCCTCTGGGGCAGGGAGACTCAGGCAAGGACCCATGGTCACAGATCCATCCCCTACCATCTCGGCCTTCTTGATCCTCTCCTGGAGCTCAACAGACTACCTGGGCCTATGGATGCATTTCATATAGCTTGCATTCTACTTCACAGATTCTCCTTAACTGTAGCATCCTGTGTACAGGGAAGCACCCTATCTTGAACAGAGTCACTCTCACTTTAAGAGTAGAAAAATATCTTTCCAGACCTAGTGATTTCAAATTCAGAATTAGAATTTTCCAAGTTCTCCAAATAAAGCTTTGATATTGACTGCTTTTCTTTCTGAAATGCATTTTTGTTGTCTTTTACAGTTTGTAATTTAAAAGAAACAATGTTTCCAATTTGTAAGAAAAACCATCCTTTCTCTAGAAAATCACCGTTATTTTGTATTAAGCACTGTCCCTTGGAAAAATCACCATATACACTTTCGTTCAGCTTGTCTGCAGCTCACAATTAGTCAGGTGCAATGCCAGCATTGAGTCCAGCCTGGATGTCCTGGTAAGGTACAAAGCAGTGCCTCCAGTACCTGCCTAAGGAAGCTGGGTGTCAATGAGGCTTTTCGTGGCAATAGGAAAGGATGAGCTATTCGCATCAAGGAAAAGATTGATTATAGCAGGAGGACTGAAATTCTCTTGCCCCCCAAAAAGCATTTTAGGGAGACCTCTGGCCAGGCAGGTCTGAGCTCCAGATGGGATTGCTCCTGGGGGGCTCCAGGGCAGTGGATAGTTTAAGGGTCCACTCAAGCTACATAATACCCAGCTGTTCAAAGCCAGTAAAATCTTTGAGAGCGTATCTGGAGGGAGGGTGGGCACATTCATAGAAAAATGATTTGCTGTCTCATTAAATGTTAAATCAGTTGATCTGATTCTTAAACATTCTTCCCTTTTCTACATGATGTGACCCTAGACTGGTTATAAAGTCCTGCTAGCAGTTTAGCAAAAAGTTCTGTCAGTTTGACAGATTTTGACCATTAAAAATCAGTGAGAGAAGCAGAGGAAATGGACAAACAGTACAAAAGTGAAAAGGTAAGTCGTGTGTGTGTGTGTGTGTGTGTGTGAGAGAGAGAGAGAGAGAGAGAGAG